CTTTCAACTACTGAGAATATGAATTATCCTGACAGCAAACATCTCAATGGAGAAGCACAAAATATTATGTTTGGAAAAAATGTGTTGGGAAAATATATCCTGTGTTCATCATGTTCATGTGTTTTGGGACTGTCCTACTGCTCTGAAATAATAACTCACATCTTCATTCAATCCTATCTGAACACTTGACTTTAAAGGTGCACTGTGTAACTTTTCTGGTGTTGGGTCACCACCTGTTTGTCTCCATGGAGATATGACTCTTTTGTCTTGATTATTCCACAGTCTGGAAATAAACTTGGTCATCACAATGAAGACAGTTTAATGATCAGATCTATGGAGAAATAAGGCTGCACGTGGTCAGAGTTCATGTTTTAAAGGTATTTCTGAACTAAAAACACCTGAAATTGAATAAATGCAAGAGAGATAAGTTTAATGCTCTACTGTGGAACTTTCCAGGCAAAGAAATAACAGCTCCGTGCAGACAAGCAAGTAGTGGACATTTAAAACTAAGAGTAAAACATCATGTTTGGATTCTAAAAGCTCAATACTATTTCTTAAAAGGATTATTCAAAAGAGAAATCCACAAATGTTGAAGCTGATGATTTACATTAGCAGTGTTGGGAAGGTGACTTTTAAAATGTAATCCCCTACAGATTACAGATTACATACCCCAAAATGTAGTTTGTAACGTAATCCATTAAATTACTTAAAGTGAGTAATGTAATCTGAATACTTTGGATTACTTGATTTGCTGTAGAGAAGCAAAGAAATCTTTATCTGGGAAAGGAAATCTTCACATAAGATGTTTTGTCTGATAAAAGAAATAAAAAATAATAAAAAGTCCACAGTTTACTTAATCAAATTAAAAATAGTATTGATAGAAGAGGAGAAGACACGGTCTGCACAGCATGGTTTAGTCCTGATAAATCCTGTTTGAGACATAATTTAGACCTGGTTTATTCCTGTTTTAGTCCTGGTTTAGTCCTGGTTTATACTTGGTTTTAGACCTGATTTAGTGTCCGGCAATGAGTGGAATTACCAAAAAAAAAAAAAAAAGGGATATAACCAAAAATGTGAAAACAGTAAAATACCTCTGTGTAATCCATTTATTTCAACAAAGTAACTGTAATCCAATTAACAGTCACTGAAACAGTAAATGTAACTGAATACCGTTACTCATAATTTGTACTCTGATTACGTAACTCCGGTACATGTAATCTGTTACTCCCAACACTGTACATTAGTAACATGAGTCTAGAGTTCATAATCTGTAGAAATGTGAGTTGAAGTGATTTATTTAGCCTTAAAAACATCTATAAACTGGATAAATGTGTAATGCCATACTGTGGAACATTCAAGGCAAAGTGATGTCTCCATGGAGACAGGCAGTAAACAGAGCCTCCACCAGGAAAGTGCCACAGTGCAGCTTTACTGAAGCATGTGTTTGAAATGAGAAAATGTTTTCAGTAAGTGTTTTCTTGTGGATTCTCTGGATCATTCTTTGTCCTGTTGCTGTTTTAAATGGAAACGTGCTGCTGTGGTCGTGCCTCTTTTCCCACACACAGTGAACGTCTCGTGTGGGCTTCCTGTGCTCTGTGCCCTGGTGCTCGCTGCTGCCTCCGACCTGCTCCAATCAACTCTGGAAACAAAAGGCACAACTGTGTTTACGGCGTCTTAGTGAAAACTGAGCCGAGCGATGGACAAAGAGACGACGCTGCCAAAAACTATGACTCCAAAATCTACAAACTCTCCTCCTCTAGGTGGCGCTGTGTGGCTTCTCTCACCTGCAGAAGGAGCAGACTGTTTATCTGAAAATGCTACTTTATGTTTTGTGCCATCTGCTGGACACTGGGGGTCACTACACACAGTAAGTTTACAGGTTCTGGACACTTGAAGAACATGTATCCACACTTCAAACTCCGCCCCTACAGCCAGGTTATAATCATATGTGATGTCACGTAGTACTTGACATTGCAGAGGCCACGTAAGGCAGCACACACTCCATTCAGGACAGTGTTTTATTTAATTTATTTTTTTTACCTACCAGAGAACGGTAAACTTTCTTAGTTTGCACAAAAACTAGAGTAGATCGTGTAGGCCATGGGTAAATTAAAACACCATACACTTGTGCTACACACTTAGTAGCACAAAACGTGGATTTAGTGTTTAGTAGCACTTTAAAAAGACAAATGTGCTGAAGTGAGGACACAAGTATGGGTTTATCAGTTCATCTAATATTTCAGTCTTCAGAATAAGGATTGCAGTGTGTGTATTTGAATAACTGTATAGTTTTGGGCACATGTTGAAAACCAGTCCATGCTTGTGTGTGGACACTGCTTGTTTTAAAGTTAGGAGTCATTTTGTTGCTTGGAATGTTCCACAGTAAAGAGTTGTTCAGTGTGATGTCACTTCAGCTGATTGAAAACAATGAACATGTTACTATTTCCTCTTTTTTAACAACACATGTCACGTTAAAAGAGATTTCAGTGTGGATTAAAGTGGATCTGTGGTCAGAACTATGACAGAAAGTGGACGAGGAAAGTGGACCAGCTGTTAGTGACACATACACTGGTGATCTATATTATGTAATACATAACATATTTCATACAAATATTGGTTAAAAATACACATTTAAAAGGCAATTGTCTCTTGTTTGATGAATGAGGAACAAAAGCAAAGACACCAGCTGTGAAGTTTCTGGTTGGACCTGAAAGTGTCATGATCATTTTACAAGTCTATAGGTGCACTGTGGAACGAGACTCTCTAAAGTGTCGGCATTTCATCCGGGGGCGCGGTTAGTGGTCCGACTGTATTTTCCAGCAGATGTGATTACAGCAAATATTAAGATTCAGCGACACTGATAGTATTTTTTATGATCCATTTAATACAGTTAGACAAACTAATCCCTTTATTTATTTGTAATTTAGTTTTGTCTAAAACTCACAGCTCGGTTTTACCAACTTTAACCTGACTGTGAAAAAAAGTATTGTCAAAAATCAACATGGTGTGTTGTTATTTGTCTTAACTGTGTTTGGGGGGAAATGGTGCCTCTGATACATCAGTGGAGAGTCAAAGAAAAGCTGGTTGTGCTTTTAGTGTAATTTTAGGTCTAAACGAAGCTTTATCTTGTCAAAAAATCTGTTATTTTGACCTGACAGCAGCAGCTCAGGTGAACAGGAAAACACAGTTTAAAAGTAGATTGTCATAGTTGCAACAGAATGTTTCCTCCTCCAGACAAAATGTTGAGATTTTAAGGAGTTCCACTGTGGAACATTCCAATTAATGCCATCACATTTCCATGGAGACCAATGGGTGGTGAAGTGTTTGGAAACAGAGACTATAAAAACAGAGTGTAACAGGAACAGGATCTGTTGGCTTCATGCCTCCATTCTAATACTAACAGGATTAACACACACAGACAAAGACCAACAAAGTGAACGCTGGACAAGTTCTGCTGTAAACACAGCTAAGTGTGCTCCTTCAACAGCCGTCACCACGCCAAATATGTACACATGTTATACCAGGTGCCCTCCCTGTAACACAGAGACAAGAGGAGTTTCATCAACAGTAACGACACAACACTTCAAGTGCTCGTGATGGGTCAGTTTACAGACTATTATAGTTTGACATCAGTTATGTGGCAGTTTGTGTTTGCTGTTTTAATGACTTTGCAGTTTATAAAGTTTCAGAAACAGATTTGTAGCCTGTTGTGGTCATTAGTCACCAGTTCATAAGTTCTGAGTGAGCTTTGCTCAGTAACAGTTTTGGAATCACCTCGACATACGTCACATCTGCTGCCCGAGTCCAACCAGGAAGTAAAACTATACTTTACAGCAATTAAAAACACGAAACAAAACTAGACAAGCTTTTTAGTAAAATCATAAACATAATCTTCTTAACTAAAAATATTTTTGAGTGAAACAACCTTCCTGTTCATGGGTCAGTGCTTAACAGACTACTCCACTGCCATCGTCTAAGAAGGGCCGTGTGCAAAAACATGAGACACAGGTTCATGAAACACCAGAGTTGGTGAAGTCACTGGTGACTCCACTTTTACTGAGATGAGATGAGATGAGATGAGGTGAGGTGCCTAATCCTGAAAAAAACATGACATACAATCGAGTAGTAGTAGGAGAAGTAGTAGTAGTAGTGGTAGTGGTAGTAGTAGTCGTAGTGGTAGTAGTAGTAGTCATAATGGTAGTAGTAGTAGTAGTAGTAGTAGTAGTAGTAGTAGTAGTAGTAGTAGTAGTAGTAGTAGTAGTAGTAGTAGTAGTAGTAGTAGTAGTAGTAGTAGTAGTAGTAGTAGTAGTAGTAGTAGTAGTAGTAGTAGTAGTAGTAGTAGTAGTAGTAGTAGTAGTAGTAGTAGTAGTAGTAGTAGTAGTAGTAGTAGTAGTAGTAGTAGTAGTAGTAGTAGTAGTAGTAGTAGTAGTAGTAGTAGTAGTAGTAGTAGTAGTAGTAGTAGTAGTAGTAGTAGTAGTAGTAGTAGTAGTAGTAGTAGTAGTAGTGGTAGTAGTAGTAGTAGTAGTAGTAGTAGTAGTAGTAGTAGTAGTAGTAGTAGTAGTAGTAGTAGTAGTAGTAGTAGTAGTAGTAGTAGTAGTAGTAGTAGTAGTAGTAGTAGTAGTAGTAGTAGTAGTAGTAGTAGTAGTAGTAGTAGTAGTAGTAGTAGTAGTAGTAGTAGTAGTAGTAGTAGTACATTTTGCACTATAAAAAAACAACTAAAACATACTGAACACAAAACCAGGCTGTTTAATTTAAAGGTGCATTGTGTAACTTTTCTGGTGGAGCGTCCGTCTCCATGGAGATGTTATTGCTTTGTTCAGAATGTTTCACAGTATGGCATTAAACCTTTTTATCTTCATGAATACCAAACCAGACCAGTCTAAATGTGCAGGTTTGTGTGTTAAACATGTGTGAATGAATCAAAACACAACTCCAGGTCTGTTTGTGATGAGGAAACTACATTAGAACATAAAAAAGAGAAAATGGTGTAATGGCTCCTTTAAAGTTTTGTCTGGTTCAAGCTCTTCTCTTCCAAGATCCTTTGACACTGGATGTGGTGAACCGAGTGCTGGACATTTTAAATGACTCACGGCCTCCCACCACCTCACTCATTTTCTTACGAAAGTGTTTACCCACGATGACGTACAGGATGGGATTAAGATCACTGTTGGAGAACCCAAAGTTGATGAAGAGAACTCTGCAGATATACAAGTGATGTACTAGGCTACAAGTTTCCTCAATAAGGTTGTATCTTACCGCTAGCTCTATCATTCTCACTAAGCTAAACGGAAACCAGCAGACAAAGAACGCGAGCAACACACTAAGAACTAAAACAGTGGCTTTGTGTTCCTTTTGTAGCTTTCTGCCTTCGTTGGGAGGTCTTCCTGTCAGTGCTTGGACAATTTTAACGGTGCAGAATAAAATGATGAGAAATGGAAGAACAAATGCTGCTATGGTTTGTATCAGCTCATGTGTGAAATAGAAACTCAAGAAACACCCCCACTGACATGTGGGTTCCTCTATATTGTCACTAACTGCAGTTCTTTTGCACATAAGAGTCGGGATGTTTAGCAGCAGACCCAAGCACCAAGCCAAAAAACAACCCAGCATTGCATATTTACGTCTGTGCAGTTTGCACTGGGTCAGTGGGTGCACCAACGCTAAGAAACGATCAACGCAAACCAGGACGAGGAAATAGATGCTGCAGTTGTAGTTCATGACCATTAGAAGACTGGCAAGTGTGCACATAGGTCCACCGAAAGTCCAGACGTGATCATTGGCCTGGTATACGCCCCAGAAAGGCATGAAGAGCATCAGGAGGAGATCGGCAGCGGCCATGTTGCACAGGTAGATCTCGGTGACAGAGCATTTCTTCTTGTGGAGCAGGAAGACCAGGAGCACCAGCAGGTTGAGGGGGATGCCCAGAGCAGAGATGATGTAGATGTACGGAGGGATCCAGGAGGTGTTCAGGGCGTCGTGGTCACAGAACTGTTCAGTGGTGTTGGGAAAACTGCAAGAACAAGGAGACATTTGGTGTTTCACCAAGTGTAAGAAATCCATCTGCAGTACACACAGTGAAACTCTGCCCCTCATGTGTGATATATTCTGTCATGAAAATGTCCATGTTCAATGGAACTAATGTGTTGTTCAGAGATGTTTTGTAAACTGACCTGAGTAAGTTACATTTCTGATGAAACTCAAATAGTTCACTATAGTGTTGTGAGAACGTCTTTCATTTGTACATTGTTTGATTATTATCCAGTCGTGGTTGTTATGTGATGCATTTCTTTATTTTATTCTATTTGAATATCCCTAACCCTTACAAAAAACAAGTGGCCTTTTTATTCATAAATGCATTTTAACAATAAGTTGTTAATACTACTTCCACATGGGATGAATTAAACATCTGCTGAGAATTTGAACAAAAAAAAAAGGTTTAAATCTGATGATGTATAAGCCCCAAAGAGCAATGAGTCCACCAGACCGAGCAGGACTCGCTGTGAAACAAAAAAACAAAGAACTTACAGGGGTTAAATTCCTCAGGTCTTTCTTGATTTTAATTTATTCTTGTCAAGATAAATGCTCAGTGCATGATGTAAAGAGCATTTATAAATAAGATAAATAAGAGATTAATGAGTTTGTAAAATTATTCATTTGCATTTTCTCAGGTAAATGATCTGATTTTGTATTGCACTTTTTTTTTTTTTTTACCTTCACTCAAAGCAGTGTTACATCAATGAACCACACACACCATAGTCTGTATAAAGAAGTGGACTAAGTGAGTGTGACGTCTCCATCATGTTCAGCTCCACTCAAATGAAGCTTGTGATTCTGGTGTCAGGCTCCATATTATGTCACATGCCAACTTCCTGTTTGGAACGCGGCGGTTACTCCATAAACTATGTCATTTTATATGTACAGTCTATTCATACACCACATGCACATACACCAGTGCACACACACACTGGCTAGTTCTGAGTTTGTTAAATTGGCCTCTAAGCATGTGCATCACCAAGTTAGGAAAAGGAGCCTGCATGTTTCCTTTCATAGCTCCTTTAGCCTAGGAACCTAAAGAACTTCCTAACCAGCCGTAAGGAACCACGAGACATCCCAAAATCCAGTGCACATTATCACTGAAGGTTCATCAAATGTTCATCAAAGGTTCATCGAAGGTTCATCGAAGGTTCATCGAAGGTTCATCGAAGGTTCATCGAAGGCCGATCTCTGCGCCAAGAGTTTGGAATTGTAATTTGTCATTGCCTCAGACATTCTACAAAAAGACAGGATTTGGTGGAATATTTTTTGACTTTTTTGAGGACAGAGGACAGAGCTGAGGACAGATTTGAGGACAGAGGACAGCTTTTTGAGGACAGAGCTGAGGACAGAGGACTTGAGACAGAGCTGAGGACAGATTGAGGACAGAGCTGAGGACAGACAGACTGAGGACAGAGGACTAGAAGACAAGGACAGAGCTGAGGACAGAGCTGAGAGCTGACAGGACATGAGGACAGAGCTGAGGACAGGACAGAGCTGAGGACAGAGACAGAGCTGAGGACAGAGCTGAGGACAGAGCTAGAGACAGAGGACAGAGACAGAGCTGAGAGGACAGAGGACAGAGGCTGAGACAGAACTGAGGACAGAGGACAGAGACAGACTGAGGAGAGCTGAGGACAGAGCTGAGGACAGAGGACAGAGCTGAGGACAGAGGACAGCTGAGACAGAGCTGAGGACAGAGGACAGCTGAGGACAGACTGAGACAAGCTGAGGACAGAGGACAGAGCTGAGGACAGAGGACAGAGCTGAGGACAGACAGAGCTGAGGACAGAGCTGAGGACAGAGGACAGAGCTGAGGACAGAAGACAGAGCTGAGGACAGAGGACAGAGCTGAGGACAGAGGACAGAGCTGAGGACAGAGGACAGGGCTGAGGACAGAGGACAGAGCTGAGGACAGAGGACAGAGCTGAGGACAGAGGACAGAGCTGAGGACAGAGCTGAGGACAGAGGACAGAGCTGAGGACAGAGGACAGACCTGAGGACAGAGCTGAGGACAGAGGACAGAGCTGAGGACAGACAGAGCTGAGGACAGAGCTGAGGACAGAGGACAGAGCTGAGGACAGAGGACAGAGCTGAGGACAGAGCTGAGGACAGAGGACAGAGCTGAGGACAGAACTGAGGACAGAGGACAGAGCTGAGGACAGAGGTGAGGACAGAGTTGAGGACAGAGGTGAGGCTGCAGCTGATGGTGAGTGTGCAGGACATATTTCTTGTCTTCTGTGCATGTGGACATGTTGGAGATGGTTCATGTTTGTTCATGTCTGTGGGTTTTTTACACGTCTTTCTTCTTCTTCAGCAGCAGCGTCTCTCATGAGCAAATCCTGGGCTCATTTACAAACACTGTCACACTGAAATGTCTTTAAAGCTGGAGCAGTAGAGGAGAATGATGAGCGTCCGTTTTGTGGGTGTTGTAGTTTTTTGTTAAACTGTAGGGTCACATGACTGATCCGTTTCTCCATTGGTTAGGATGGTCAGATTCTCCAAAACCAGCTGAAGCTCCTTCTCCTCTCTGCTTAAGACACTTATGGTTGATCCTGTGATGAAGCTCCAAAGGTAAAGGAGTTAGGGACTAGGAGTTAGGAGCTATGATTTGATGATCTGAGCTACTGTTAAAGTCTGGTGTGTATGGGACTACGTTACCCATGATGCACCTGTTGGTATTGTAGTTCTGGAAAGCTCGTGCCCCTCGAGTTGTGTGCAGTGTTATTATTGTGTAGGGAGCGGAGCCCGTCCTGTATCGTCTTGTGTGTACGAGTACTGTGTGTGTTCATACGATGTAAGTGTTGTTTGTAACTGTGTATGAATGTGTATTTTGTCAGTTTATTTACCAATGTGTAGTTTCCATTGTTAGATTTTTGATACTATCACAATTATACAATGTGGTGCTCCACGTGAAATTAATCTGTTACTCTGAGTCAACTACATCAAACCGATAAGTGACAGCCAATAATCTGCTCTCCATCCGTTTGTTAAAAGTGTATTTCACATGTTTTGTACAGTTTTGGCTGTTCTGACATTTTCACATTTCCATAAATATTCAATTTCAGTATAAATTAATTTATTGTGTTGAAGCGCCCACCTGTGGTTCTTTTGTGTAAACACATGTTATTTTTTTCATTATTCATTTCATTGTGTAGTTTATTGGGTTTTTTAATGTATATATTTCTTGTCTTTCTTCCAGATAAACACACACATGTAACTATCAACACGTATATCAAATAAGCTCTGCTTTAATATCACTGCTCCCTCCTCCTAAATAAACATCTCACTTCTGTACAAGTGGAGCTGCCTGTTCCTTCTGAGTGAGGAAAACTCAGTTGAAGATAAATCATTGATCAGTGCAGTCCAGAGGCACACAGCACCTTACAGATACTGTCGCCCCAGTTTATATTTATAATAATAAGGACTAGAGAATCTGCCTGACACTGTCCCAACACGTCTCTGTCTCTGTCATGGACCAATATCACTGTCCACTTTTATGTTTGTCACTCAACAGCAGCTCACCAACATGTTTTGACTTTACAACTGGGTTTTAAAAGCTGCAGCTACTAAAGTCTGTGCTGATCCAACTGAGTTTGTGTTCCTGCCGCAGAGGGACAGTGCATTTCAAACACAGAAGTGTGTTGTGAATCACCCTGATCAGCTGCAGTGTGGATTAGAGCACTTACTGTTTTACACAAACACCAAACAGCTCCACACTTCAAGATTAAAGGTGCATCGTGTAACTACTGCTGGAGGCTCCCACAAACCCTTTTCTCCATGGAGATTAGAGCCCGACCGATATATCGGTTGGCTAATATGAGCACCTGGAGACATATCGGCTATCGGCCGATATGTCTCCAGGTGATATGGGCCGATGTTTCACGTGGGCATGTTATACGTCGTTATAAAGCTTAGACTCTCTACATTATGTTCATTTAATCCAATTTACAGACAGATAAATGTCCAAATATGTGGCTCTGCATCAGTATTTATCTGTGGAGTCATTTGTCTGTGTGTGTGTCCGTACTGTCCCTGAACACACCACAGAGTCACAACACTCACGTGTGTTTGTTTACACCCGCAGACCCATAGATCCATGTGCAACACTGAGATTATTTTCTTTTTACGGACAATCAGTTTGAGTCTGGATTAAAAGGACATTTATGAGCACAGACTTGTGATGTGTGTGTGTGTGTTATTAGTGCAGACTTGTGATGTGGGAGGAGCCTGTGTGAGCGCTGAGTGTTGGAAATATGTCGACTTTGAAGCTAGTTTTGGATATTTTTCGTTGGTTAGTGGTTAGCTGCTGTAGCTCCGCACATAAACAGACTGTTTTCTATTGGTCTATTGTAAAGTGACTGGTTTAGACCTGGTTTAGACCTGGTTTAGACCTGGTTTAGTCCTGGTTTAGACCTGGTTTAGACCTGGTTTAGACCTGGTTTAGTCCTGGTTTAGACCTGGTTTAGACCTGGTTTAGTCCTGGTTTAGTCCTGGTTTAGACCTGGTTTAGACCTGGTTTGGTCCTGGTTTGGTCCTGGTTTAGTCCTGGTTTAGTCCTGGTTTAGTCCTGGTTTAGTCCTGGTTTAGACCTGGTTTGGTCCTGGTTTGGTCCTGGTTTAGTTCTGGTTTAGTCCTGGTTTAGTCCTGGTTTAGACCTGGTTTGGTCCTGGTTTAGTCCTGGTTTAGTCCTGGTTTTAGACCTGGTTTGGTCCTGGTTTTTGGTCCTGGTTTAGTCCTGGTTTAGTTTTCCTGGTTTAGACCTGGTTTGGTCCTGGTTTTGGTCCTGGTTTAGTCCTGGTTTAGTCCTGGTTTAGACCTGGTTTGGTCCTGGTTTAGACCTGGTTTAGTCCTGGTTTGGTCCTGGTTTAGTCCTGGTTTAGTCCTGGTTTAGACCTGGTTTTGGTCCTGGTTTTAGTCCTGGTTTAGTCCTGGTTTAGACCTGGTTTGGTCCTGGTTTGGTCCTGGTTTAGTCCTGGTTTAGTCCTGGTTTAGACCTGGTTTGGTCCTGGTTTAGTCCTGGTTTAGTCCTGGTTTAGTCCTGGTTTAGACCTGGTTTAGTCCTGGTTTAGACCTGGTTTTAGTCCTGGTTTAGTCCTGGTTTAGTCCTGGTTTAGTCCTGGTTTGGTCCTGGTTTAGTCCTGGTTTAGTCCTGGTTTGGTCCTGGTTTAGTCCTGGTTTAGTCCTGGTTTGGTCCTGGTTTGGTCCTGGTTTAGTCCTGGTTTAGTCCTGGTTTGGTCCTGGTTTGGTCCTGGTTTAGTCCTGGTTTAGTCCTGGTTTAGTCCTGCTGTCAACAAAACAATCCCCATCACTAGTGTCTAGAATATGATGTAAAAATGCCATTAGTCTGACCTACTGTCTGTAAATATGACGTAAAGAGTCAGAATAACAATAAATGTTGCATAAATAAACCCAATTTAAAATCCACTAGAGACAAACCTAAGTTTTTTAAACAATTCAAGATTTACAGTGAATTTTTACATCACTAAATATATCGGCGATTATATCGACTATCGGCAGCTCCAACTCTCATTTTATCGGTTTCATATCGGCCGCAACAAAACCCATATCGGTCGGGTCCTAATGGAGATGTTATTGCTTTGTCTGGAATGTATTAAAACTTTCTATTTTCATGGAGACCAAACCAGACCAAGTCACAGGTCAGATCTGTGGAGAGGCGACCCCGCTCACAGTCACAATGTCTGTTTTTCTAGGTATTTTTGAGCTCTAAAACCACCTGTGATTGAATAAATGTAAAGTAAAGCTGTTTAATGTCACACTGTGGAACATTCCAGGCAGAGCAATGACATCTCCATAGAAACAAGCAGGTGGCAGACCTCTGACCAAAAAGTTACACCATGCAGCTTTAATGACAGAACATAAAAAAATAACACAAAGCAGAGGAGGAGGAAGTACTTTGTTACTTAAACCTGCGACTTGAACAGAATAACGTCATTGAAAAACTTCTCCATACCTGGTTGGCGTGTCCATGTTGATGTTCCGAGGTGTTTTCCAGCTGGGATTCTGGTGTCTCTGCTCCGGTCTGTCCTCTCTTCCTCTTATTAGTTCCAGAGCAGTGCAGACTTCCCTGGAAAAGGCCGTCCCTCTGCACCGCCCTGTCCCTGTCCCATGTGTGATCTGCTGCTTCTTATTCAAACACAACCACTCCTTGTTTTAACAGTGTCCACCCAATATTGATGGTCTTTTGTGTGTGTGATGTTTCAAAATGTACATTATGAGAATATTTTCAAGGGCCCATATAATGCAATTTTATGATCGATGTTATAATATAGTTTTCTTCTGTAAAACATCCCTGGATTTGTGTTTTGTTTCATTCACACGTGTAAACAGACTTATTATGCAAAATCAACTTTTAGAGTTTTTAACCATGTTATCGTTGCCTGGGATCCAGAATACACACTTCTTCAACACTTTACGTGAAAAACATGGCGGATTTCTGCAGAATCAATGAGCGAAGCACTAAACTGTTCATCTGAGGAAAGAGGTTTTTGTAAATGACCAATGAGCTCCATCGTTTCACATGAATCACTGAAAAAAACAACAAATCTGATTGGACGATCACATTTGGCCGGGCTTGAGATTCAGTCGTTTCTGATGAATATTGAGATTTAAAATGTGCAAATGATAATGAAATGATCATCACCATGTCATCGATTATAATTATAGACACACACAAGCACAAGATTTCTTCTTTAACACACAAACCCTGCAGATTTGGGCTGAGTGACCAAAAAGCGGCTTTTTACTTTAATCTCTGCTCTATTTTAGTTTTTACCTCAATCAAACTTTTTGCTAAGGACTCTAGTATTGGAAACTCACATTAGTTTGTGCCACTTTGGACATTTGTGGTGTTTTTTTGTTACTTTTTGAGCACAAAGTCCAAGCTGCTCTGGGTATTTTGAATTGACCTGATCCCTGTTGTGTAACAAAAATACTTGAATATTTATTTATCCATTATGATGAACTGCAGCTACATTATTGACTTTGATTTGTATGTTTAAAGGTGTGCTATGTTTTTGTAGCTTGACTTAAGCTTATTATTGATGAAATGATGACCAAATGTTTATTGTTTATGTGTATTGATTGTTATGAAATATGGCATCGAATACTTACTTTTTATTTAGTAGCAGTAATGGTTTATTACTTGAGTCGAAGTTAATTTATTCATGTGCTAATTTGTGTTTTTACTGACCCTGTATTAGGTCAGTTTTTTTTTTTTTTTTTCCTACTGAATTAAAGTAAATTAAACTGCAATACCACAAACTACCACTGGATGGCGATCTACCCAATCACCACATAATAGTGGTAGGAAATATTAAACTTTTCCATAACCCTGGAACATGTTAATTTTTTGGATTACAGTAACTCAAACTGAACTTTGGGATTGTTCTAACATCAAGAGTCCATTTTGCACCTCAGTGCAACATTTTATTTAGAATGTCATAATTCCACAGGGTAAATACACTCCCACTCTCACTTTGAACCATTTTAAACAGATCTGAGTCTTGGTCCTTTGTCTCTGTTAAATTTGTAGATACACTGAGTTCTCACATCGGCTTGTGTCATATAAATGAATATAAAAAGAGTCAGTCTTTTTAACTAATACTTTTTAAACTAGAATAGACTGAATTTAAAACATCTTCATTTTGGGCCAAAAATGATATATTGTGTTATATTGTGACTCAATAATCATGATTTTCATTTAAACTAATGATAAACACATCCATAAAGTGGGCAGTAGTAGTCGGGCTGGCTCCACCTAGTGCCTCCACTCAGTTTCATTTCTCTCCAGTGACTAGGTCAGGGATCAGAATACACTAGATACATGAGATGGTTTGCAAGAACCTCAGAAGTGTGAGTCCAGGCATCCTGTGTTGGCAACGATTCACGAGATCGAGGATTTAAAGAGAATGTTTGGTGAATTTTATCAAGGGGAAAGACGTTATTGTCCTTCTTCCGACGGGATTTGGGAAAAGTTTAATATTCCAGTTAGCCCTGTTAGTGTTAGATAGTTTTTGTACTTTTCTGAATATTTGAGTTGTAAAGTCTTGATTATGTCACTTCTATTAACTGTTCCATTTATTTATTTTCATCTTATTTTGTGTGGAAATCCTGCTTTAGAGTCATGTCAGTGGTATAATGGCAATTAATGCATTTTTATTTCAGTAATTGTTATCATGACAGGCCAACAAACCAGAATCAAACCAGGGTACAGGTAAAGGCCCCATAAAATCACATTAATCAGATGCTCCCAGGATAAAGAAGTCCTCGCTCATATTTATCAGAATTCTTCCGTTTTTCTCCGTACAGCACTGAGGGTCTCGCAGCGTCCTCAGGACCCCGTCTCTGAGCTCTTGTGGGGCTGTCTTTCTAAAGTTCACCGTCTCTGTGAGGAAGTTTAGAATCAGCTCTCCGGCCTCGTTTCCTTCAGTGAAACAGTCGGTGATGTCCAGCACAGCCGGGGACTTATAGCTCTGGTACTGGATTCCAGCTTCGTCCAGCAGCTGCTTTATGTCTGCTGTGTTCCGTTCTGGAAACCAAGTACGAGTGCCTGGAGGGTTCAGCTGAGTGGAGAAGGCTTTCCACATCTTCACATAGCCAGACTCAGCTGTAACAGAACAAATAACACAAACACTCACTTATCACAATCAGCCTTCACTCCCCGTCTCCCCACCTCCTCTACAGCCCGACTTGATTTAAAGATCCCATTATGTAAAACTGACTGTTTGTGAGCTTTAAGCTTTTGTTTTAATGACACATGTTGAAGTAATTCTGTGTTATTGGACTATCTACATCCTCTTCCAATTTGTGATGTCATGAAACAGTTGTTCTCAAGTTAACAAATACCTTTTGTTTAGTAAAGGTTGGAAATTCCAGAGCTGATCCTCCAAATTATTCTAGTCAGGGTGTGTGGAGTTTAAAAACACAGTGGAGCACTTCCTGTATTACCACAATCACAAGGTGGAACAGAGTATTTTCTCCAGGTCTCTCCAGGTTTTTCATGAGGTAAAACATTAGAACACAGATCATAAAATCGCATAATATGGGCCTTTTAAAACTCAACTAAATTATAATAAATGGCGTCTTCATTTTGAAAATGATCATGATTCAATACCCAGCCTAACTCATTTGGTGTCTACTTTCCTAAATATCTTCACTGTTCTGTCATCGTGTCATGTCGTGTTTAATACAGTGGAAACAGTTGCAGCTCGTATCAACCTGCTCCAAAGTCAAAGTCAACCAACAGAAACGAGTGAGAAAGAGCGAGAGAGACTTTATTGATCCTCAGGGAACAACTCCTCTGTTCTTCTCAGCGCCGTTGTGTCTCAGTCACAAGTCTCAGTGTGGTTTAAGGTCAGGGCCATTTGAGGAAAGGAAGAGCCAAAAGTGTCCCTCCTCTGTGTCCTGCAGCATCACAACAGTGTCCAGGAGGAACCAGGTGAACACAACAGGAAAGGCCTCACTCTTACTCTGCTCTGGTGTTTCACTTGGTGATGAAATGGTTTGTTCTCTCAAAGTATTTCTCTGAAAGGTCTTCAGCCACATTTGCTGCCACATAAAGTGTAAACACCTGTAGCATGTCAAATGTCCATAGCAAGCTCCTTAAAGGTTGTATGGAGGATTTTTTTTTGTTTTTTTTGTTTCAAGTTGTCAATGATAGCATTATAGAGGTGCAGTAGCCTTGTAATTATGATGACCAAAAAAAAGAGAATAAAAATTCATCAACTCTGGACGTGGTGGGGCTAAACATTTGCCAATAGATAACGACATTGCCTCGTTATCTGTGAGCTGACAGGCTGTCAATCAATCTCCCTACGTTTCTAGTGTAACTGACTTGCCTGCGCCGCCGGTACGTGGTTTACGTACGACTGTCACGCAGTCCACAGACGCAAGACGCACAGACGCTGTTTACTCCACCAACGCAACAGTTCTTAGCGGCTTTTTTTGACCTATATCTTCCTCGCAGTTAGCACAAAGTTTGTTGCAATGGCGACAAGAATCCAGGAGCAGTTCGCCACAAAAGAAAGTCAATTTTTGAGGTCGCTGAAAGAAGAAGACAAGGGGAAAAGCAGCGAAGCCAAACTAAGGTGATTCTTATAGATTCATTCCAGCGATGGCGCAACTGAAGCAGACGCAGGGTCTAAAGACTGACGCACTGGTCGCCAAATTACTCCTGGACAGGTCACTTCTGCTTATTATGAAAACGTACTTTATTTCCAAGAGCTAGACAAACGTTTTTCAGGACACGAAAGCGATATCCTATGTCTGAAAACGTCATTTTCAAGGCAAAGAAAGAGTCCGCTTGCTGCTGCGTGTTGTAGCTAGTTCATTCGCACTGAATCTCCGCGCACTCTTCTCTGCTCCCCTTTCCTGCTCCTGTCCCCGCTGCCCGATCCGCTCTTCCCCCTGCTCCTCACTTCTCCGGGCACAGAATCTCCACGCACCGCTCCCCTCTCCCCTCTCCTCTCTCCTCTCCTCTCTCCTCTCTCCTCTCTCCTCTCTCCTCTCCCTGCTCCTCACTTCTCGTCCGCGAGAACTGTAGTTAGTTGTTTACAAGTCATGTGCAGCACCGGCTGTAAACAAACCTGTTTCTGGCGTAAGCAGGAGGCGGGAGAAGGCGTTTCTACGTAGGAGCTGTAGGGGAGGGGGGGTGGTTTCACGCATGCGCAACATTTGAAAAAGGACAAACAGTCGCTGGATTTCTCGTTCCTTGGAAAATCCTCTATACAACCTTTAACTATCCTCTTACACAGTGTCAGTGGATATGGAAAAAACAAAGAGAAAACCAAAGTCTTGTTTCCACTGGCACAGTTCACTTGGGGTCACTTTGGCGCAGAGCAGTTTGGAGGGGGCCACCTCCACCCAGGGGGAGTTTCCATAACAATGGACTGGGGGCAGTTTGGGCGTCACACGGGTGCATAAGACACACTCAGTAGTGTGATGTAGACCTGTGTGACGAGCCGTTGGACAGCTGTCAAAAGACCATTGCTAAACTAAAGGAGCATCAACACTGATTCA